TTCGATGTCGGCGTACTAAACTCAGGTATTCCAGAACAGCAACAATAAAATTGTGACGACAACACCTCGGAGCTCAACTCCCCAGGACACTGCCACAACCCCTAAAGATAGGAGGCACCAAGAACAATGTTCTCATCACAAAACCATCAGAACGATTCCAAGATACCTGCGTGATCCTAATTTTTTTTGTGAAATTTGAGAAGAGAAGAGTCAAAACTCTACGTCAGGATGCCTTACCAGAGCAATGAAGAGACTGGGAAGTAAAAAGAATTCCTAAACTCTCTGATATATAATTCCTAAATGACTCAAAACATTTTTCTAGACTCAACTCGGCCGCTAAAAACGATCAAGCCATGGGGCTCCTAAGGTCGGGGAAGGCTCTGATACCAACTTGTAACACCCTCGATGCAGCTATAGCTCCCACGTATCGAGGCACGACTTAGAGGCATAACCGCATTGAAAGCAATGTCGCAAGTTAGGAAATCTTCACAACATCCCATGTAATATAGATAATAGAAGGGGAGATACATAGTTGGCTTACACTCGCCACGTCAATCAAAGTACATAAATTAATAGCATTACAACATTCACACACTCATGGCCCGACTACGGTGCCAAAATAAAAGATAACCCAACATGCGACACGGTCCTGATCACCCCAATTGGGCACCACTACTTATCATTAGGGAAAGACACGTAGTATCGACGTGAGTCCTCGTCGAACTCCCACTTGAGCTCAAGCGCGTCATCTGGAACGGAGTCATCAGGCCCTGCATCTGGTTTGGAAGTAATCTGTGAGCCACAGCGACTCAGCAATCTCGCACCCTCGCGATCAAGACTATTTAACCTTATAGGTAAGGCAAGGTAAGTATGTGGAGCTGCAGCAAGCGACTAGCATATATGGTGGCTAACCTGTTCGCAAAAGAGAGCGAGAAGAGGAGGCAAAGCACGAATGAATAACTAGAGGACATTCTGCGGCAAGCATTACTCCAACACCGTGTTCACTTCCCGGACTCCACCGAGAAGAGACCATCACGGTAACTCACACAGTTGATTCGTTTTAATTAAGTTAAGCTTCAAGTTATCTACAACCGGACATTAACAAATTCCCATCTACCCATAACTGTGGGAACGGCTTTCGAAAGATCAAAACCCTGCAGGGGAGTCCCAACTTAGCCCATGACAAGCTCTCACAGTCAACGAAGGAATAGACCTCCTCCCGAGACATTCCGATCAGACTCGGTATCCCGGTACAACAAAACACTTCGACAAGTTAAAAAAAATCCAGCAACACCGCCCGAATGTGCCGACAAATAGGAGCTGCACATATCTCTTTCTCAGGGCACACTTAGATTGTCTTAGGTACGGGTAGGCCAGCCCAGGGTTGCCCCTGGTGGCCACCGGCAGCTGACAGGTGGACCAACACTCAGAGGAGCACTGGCCCGTGGGGGTTTAAAATAAGATGACCCTCGGGCTCCGGAAACCCAAGGGAAAAAGAGGCTAGGTGGCAAATGGTAAAACCAAGGTTGGGCATTGCTAGAAAAGCTTTAATCAAGGCTAACTATCAAGGGGTTCCCATTATCACCCAACCGTGTAAGGAACGGAAAATGCGGGAACATAACACCGATATGACAGAAACTAGGGCGGCAAGAGTGGAACAAAACACTAGGCGAGAGGCCGAGCCTTCCACACTTTACCAAGTATATAGATGCATTAAGATAACATGGCAATATAATGATATCCCAACAAGTAAATAATGTTCCAACAAGGAACGGTCTCCAATCTTCACCTGCAACTAGCAACGCTATAAGAGGGGCCGAGCAAAGCGGTAACATAGCCAATCAACGGTTTGCTAGGACATGGTGGGTTAGAGGTTTGACATGGCAATTTGGGAGGCATGATAAGCAAGTGGTAGGCATCGTAGCATAGGCATAGCAAAAGAGCGAGCATCTAGCATAGCAAAGATAGTAGTGATTTCGAGGGTATGATCATCTTGCCTGCAAAGTTGTCAGAGTTGACTGGATCCACGAAAGCAAACTCAACGGGCTCCTTGTTAGCGAACTCGTCTCCCGGCTCTACCCAAACAAGACAGACAAGCAAACGGAACACAATCAACCATGTGCAAACTCAAACAACAAGATGCAAACATGGTATGCTATGCGGGATGCAATAAGTGATGCATATGCAAGATTTGACAAGGAATGCATGAACCTGGCCTCAGCTTGGAAACCCAAGTGTTCCATTGGAAAGATGAGATGAAATCGCTTGAAAACGATATAAAGAACGCCGGAATCGGAGTTACGGTTTGGAAATGGCAAGCAATTCAAATATGACCACGTTCTGCGATTTACAGCAAGTAGCCATATAAATGCAACAAGATGAACATGCTACAGCACCCGTACATGGCATAAAAAAACATGGCAGGGATTCACTCAAGATGCTTAACAAAAGACTAGCACTGAGCTACGGCCAATTCATCCTTTAACAGGTTCAAACAAGCATGGAAAAAAAGCATTTGGTAAACAGATTTCAGACTTAGTGAAATTAACACTTGTCTGGAATTTCAGATCAGATAGCACTCTTTGGAGCATGAAAACTATATGCTACAGGAACTGAACATGGCAAAGTAAAGCATGGCACGGAGCTACTCAAAGAGCTTAACAAAAGTTCCTTAGTGACCTTGAGCCAAAAGGAATCAGAAAATACAATTGCAAGCACATGAACATGGCAAAAACATAATCAGTTCTCAGACTTAGTGACAACTGGAGCATGCTGAAACAGATATCAAGTAGGCATGTTTAAGAGCTCGATGCACTCACTATAGAGCAAGTCATGACAATCTAAGAATACACCCATCAAGAATACACAAAATACAATCTATACATGGCAATAACAATAACATAGCATGCACGGATCAACTACAACATCCTCGGCAAAATTGCTAACAAGTAGACAAACTGCCCAGATTCACGAAATGACAAAAGTAGAGCTCGATTGACTAAGCTAGGGTGCTCCATAATTGCAAACAAAGGCATGGATGGATAGAGCACTACAAGATTAACAAAACATCCTTACTAATCATCCTCAGAAGAGGCACGGATCACTAGGAAACAACATGAACATATGGCATATTGAGATAAACAGATCAAGGACTTAGTGGAAATGCTATGTCCCTGAAATCAGCATTAACGAATGCGCCACTTTGCAAGCTTGTGCTAGTCACCACACACATCACAAAAATACATGGGTTGAACCTCTGGATAGATGGCAAAACATATAACAAAACTCGTGAAGAGCTCCTGGGCATATCATGCACACATTAAACATGGCAAAAATGACAAATATCTAATTGGAGAAGCACATCTGACAATTATCTCAAATAGCACTCTTCTAACAGCACTTTGGGCATCAAGATGTACTCAAATGAAAATGATGCAATGAGATGAAATGATGTGCTCTTTGAGACGAACATTTTGATATGTTATATGTCCAAAACGGAGCTACGGATGCGGAGTTATGATGCTATGAACAAGGGCAAATAAATTAGGGTTAGGGATAAAAGTCAACCCGAGATCCAGATCTGGATCCGGGGGTACTGTAGTAGCACGGTTCCCGAGGGTCGCCGGAGGGTCGCCGGACTTGCCGGGGCGGTGAGGAGGAAGGAGAGGGACCGGGCGGCGTGGCGCCTGCGGAGGAGAACGGCGGCGAGGTCGAAGCAGCGAGGGGCGGTCGGACCCGGGCGGCCTTGCGCGGCGGGGCGGCGGAGCTCCGGGCAGCCGCCGGAGTGGCGAGGCGGCAGCGGTCGCCGGCGATGGGCGGCGAGGTGGCGAAGCGGCGTCGGGCGGAGGAGGGAGAAACCCCGGGCGGTGGTGGGAGCGACCCGGGCCGGGAGGGCCGCGCGCGGGCTCTCCGGGCCGGCGCGGTAGGTGGAGGCGGCGGCGACACGTGGAGGCCCGTGGGTGGTCGCGGGTGGCGGCCGACGTTGTTCAGCGCTGGCGGACACGTCCGACGTGCGGAGAGAAGCGGGGCTAGGGTTTCGGGGAAGAAGAAGATCCGGATTTCGGAGGGGGTCTTTAAATAGAGGTAGAGGGAGCTAGGAGTGTCCAAATGAGGTGCGGTCTTCGGCCACGCGATCGTGATCAAACGCTCTAGAAGATGGAGAGGATTTTGGTGGGTTTTGGGCCAAAATGGAGGGGTGTTGTGCTGCAACACACACGAGGCCTTTTCGGTCCCTCGGTTAACTGTTGAAGCATCAAACGAAGTCCAAATGGTACGAAACTTGACACGCGGTCTATCGGTAGTAAACCAAGTCCGCTTGGCAAGTCCCGGTCCAATCCGGAAATGTTTCATCCCCACACACGAAAGAAAGGTAGAAATGACCACCGGAGGAGAACGGAGCGCCGGAATGCAAAACGGACAATGAGGAAAATGCTCGAATGAATGAGATGAACATGTATGCAAATGCAATGCACATGATGATATGATATGAGATGCATGACAACGATAACAACACACGGAGACAAAAACCCGAACCCGAGAAAATAAAATAAATTAACGCCGGAAACGGCAAGAGTTGGAGTACATATTGGGGAAATCATATCCGGGGTGTTACACCAACTTCCCCTGCCTCCTCCTAGCACTGTCACCAGTGAACCCTTCGCCCGAAACCCCATCTCCTCGATCCCCCTCGTCCTCCTCCCGAGCGCCGCCTTCGCCCGACCCCATATCCCTCTCATCCCTCCCTCGCAGCCTGCGCGCACCTTCAGCCCGCGTCCTTCGCCGCCAAGCAGGTTGCCGCCCTGCGCACGCGACCACGCCGGCCTCTCCTCCCCTGCGGCCGTTTCGCCGTCGGCCTGCGACCGCCGCCACCGCTTTCTACAGGACCCCGACGCGACCGAGCCTCCCCCCAGCGCGCCCCTTCTCCTCCTCCACCTGGAGCCTGCAGAGCCGCGTGCCCCTACCATCCCCACGCCCGTTGCCTCCCTCTGTTCTACCCCACCTTAGCGCCCCGTCCTCCATGGCCGCAGCCAGCCGAGCTCGAAGCTCCCGCCGCTGCACCTCGTGGCCAGGGCCACTCCCCTTCCTCTACGGCTCCCGACCGCACCGTCGCCCAAGTCCATCAGAGGACTTTCGCTGCCACCATGGAGGCCTAAGCTGCCGATCTCGTCGGGCCTCCACCTCCGTCTCGCGCCCGCAGCCATGCTCTGGATTGAGAGGAGCTCGATCCTGAGCGCTTCTGCCCGTCCATGCCGTCCCTGAGCCCCGGCGCCCCCTTCGCTCCGTTGCATGCCCATGGCATCCTCGTCGCTCAAGCCTTTCCCCGCACCCTGCTGCCTTCGGTTGCTATTGGTTTGTTTGGCCATGATGGACATGTTGCTGCAGATTCCAAGTACGACTACACCATGGCGATACATGAACGACTACACGGCTACGACAAGTGTACCTCTACATCCTGGAATCGCTAAGTACCGCACCAAAATGCAAGTACAACAAGGAAACCTGAAGGACTTGGATGCACCAAGTTCCTCTCCGACACGTGTACGACTACCGTCGCCGAACACCCATGAACCAAAAACTTCAAGTTCGACCACCATCGCAAGGACGAGACCGGCAAGTCCGAAGACCAAAGTACCATGATGCCAAGTACCCCTACGCGTGAAGACGCCAAGACCGTTTCGGGATTCACCAAGTACCGCTACCGATGACTCGAACATCTACGAAAACGTGTACCACTACTGTCGCCGAGATTTGGAGAACCTCTACCGACGACCTCGGAACATGTACGAGGACCATTGTCGAAGACCCGTACCTCCACCGCTTCTCGAACATGAACGACTACCTCCAGTACAAACGCCCCGAGAACGTCTACTTCCTCTACCTCACTGAATCCGAACCATCCCGTTTGCTCGCTTCGAAGGTATAACCCCGACACGACGTACGTGAACGAATGCTTGCGATGTTTGAGATGAACTCCGTGTTTGCACCGTGCCCGTTTGTTCATGCACGTCCCCGTTTGCCATGCCATCGACCCATGGAAACCCGGTAACCATGATCACCCCACCATCTTTTGCATGCTCCCGCCACACTTCCATTGCACCGGTATCGCCATGAGCTACCAGAACTGTTATGTTGCCGTGGCAACATTTTCGGATTCATTCCTGTGCCCCTTTTCCTTCCGCCATGGTGACAAATACTCCATCTCATGTTCATATCAACATTTGCATAAAATTGCTTAAAACTTGCAATGTCATCCGCATCATGATAACAAATTCAAGAATGTTTAATTTGTTGTTTGCTTCAAATTGCTAAATGCATATGGGGAATTACCGGAATTGTTGTTTGATGTTTCTGGCCTCATTTAAAATGCCTCGCTGTGTTTTGTTCTCATGCTTCACCCTCTTGCCATGTTTTACAACTTTTAATATTGTTGAGTACATAAACATGAGTGAACTAAATAATCAAATGTGGTGTTTCGAAAATATGCAACTCGTTGCATATTGAGCTCCACTTAATTTGTAGTATTGTTTGTTGCACTTTGCCATGCCATGCATTCTTTAAACCGGACATGCATCATACTTGGTTGTGCATCATGCCTTGTTCGTTGTGTTGTTTCGTTTCCTGTTGATCAGTAGTGGAGCCCAGTCGGGTCGATCAGGGATCTAGCATTTGGGGTTGTCTTCTTTTACTTTGGTTCCATAGTCGGACCTTTTTTTGTAGTTTGGATGATGTATGAACTATTCATGTATTATGTGAATTGGTGATTGTTAGTCGACTCTTTATCCCTTTCTTATTCAGTACATGGGATGTGTAAAGATTACCCCTCTTGCGACAAGCCTACCATGTGGCTATGCCTCTAAGTCATGCCCCGACACGTGGGAGATATAGCCGCATTGTGGGTGTTACAAGTTGGTAATCAGAGCCATCCCTGACTTAGGAGCCCCCTGCTTGATCAAATCGCTGACGTTGTTGAGTCTCGAACAAAATGTTTTGAGTCTTAGGATTATATATATATCGGAGAGTAGGATTATTTTTACTCCTCAGTCCCTTCGTCTCTCTGGTGAGGCCTCCTGACGTAGAAGTTTTGACTTTTCTCTGCTCAAATTTCACAAAAAAAATTAGTATCACACGGGTATCTTGGAATCGTTCCAATAGTCTTGTGATGAGAACATTGTTCTTTGTGCCTCCTGACATTTAGGGGTTGTGGTAGTGTCCCGGGGAGTTGAGCTCCGAACTATTGTCGTCACAATTTTATCGTTGCAGTTCTAGAATTCTTGAGTTTCGCCGACATCGAAAATCTCTTTTATACAGTTGCTGGTGAGATAACCTCGACGCCACCCAGTATTGGGCGGGAGTTCGGGAGTATTGACATAACTCGTATAACAGATGCTTTTCGAAGGTTGAGGTACACGATTTCTGAAGGTTTCTTGGTTATGTGTTGAAGGATGGAGACAACTGGATGTAGGTATTGTTAGTTTGGGTTAGATATTATGCTTCCCATGTATCCCCAACACCTGGTTGCATAACCAGAAAGTATCGAGAGTTTATAAGTGGGAATTCAAGTATCACGTAGGAATGTGTGCGCATGTTGTGGAAGGCGCAGATCATACGACCACCCTTGGACGACACGGGAAGATCTCAACCGTGCTTGGTGTCCGATTCTGCCGCAAGTACGGCCACTCCTTTGTGCTTCACGTCCTTGACCTCGGCCTTCTTCTCCTCTGGATCTGCAGTAGGGAGCTCGAGGAGGGAGAGACGCCCCTCCTCAGCCCTTGCACACTTGGTTGCTATGTTGAACAACTCCAAGGTCGTGCATGGCTCCTCATGGATGGCGAGCTCCTCCTTCATCATGACGTCACGGACGCCGTCAGAAAATGCTGAGATGATGGCCTCGTCTGTCACCTTGGGGATCTTGATATGTGCGTTGTTGAAGCGTTGGATGTACTTCTGCAGGGTTTCTCTCGGTTGTTGCTTGATGCGGCGCAGGTCACCCGCGACCGGGGGGCGGTCACGAGTGCCCTGGAAGTTGGCGATGAAGTGGCTGCACATCTCATCCCAGGAGGAAATTGAGCCTGGGGGCAGGTTCAGGAGCCATGAGCGGGCGTCGTCCTTGAGAGCCATGGGAAACCAGTTCGCCATGACCTTTTGGTCGCCATTGGCCGCTTCGATGCTCAGATCGTAGAGCTGCAGAAACTCCGCAGGGTCGGGGGTTCCGTCATAGTGAGGGGGCAGATCCGGCTTGAACTTGCCTGGCCAGACGATGCTACGCAGCGCAAGAGTGAAGGCGCGGCAGCCCGCCGTGGCCACCGGGGCCCATCGTGGAGGCGGAGCTTGACCTTGGCGTCCCTGTGCTGCCACAGCAAGTGGCATGTGGCCTTGTCGCAGCAAGCAATCCTAGCATGGTGGTGCTGGAAGCGGTGGAACATCTTCTTGCGGACGGGGAACCTCCTGGCAACTTCTTTCTTCATGCGCGGGCACAGGGCGCGGCGGATCACGCCGTCGGGCCGCGCATCTTGGAGCGGGGATGCCTTCTTGACGCAGGGGAGGCTGAGGCGCTCCATGAGCCGTGCGCCTCGGCATGAGGGCGCCATCTTGGTACTAAGGGGGCGGAGGCGCTCCGTGAGCCACATCGCCCGCAGCCGGGGGCAGGTGAGGCAGCGAGAGGGATGGTGCAGGAGAGCCCCCAATGACGCTGACGAGTTCGGCGATGCAGTCCAACCAGTCCTCATAGAGGTCATCGACCGGGCGGTAGCGTGGGAGCTCGCGTGCCATGAGCAGCGTGGCCTGCGCGTCCGTGGGGGCGAGGCGAGCATAAGACGATGAGACGGCCGGAATCAACGACGGGGTGGCGGTGCGACCGTCTCGCCGCACAGAGGGGTGCAGTGAAGAGGCTTACTGCTCATTTGCCGCTGGGCCGGTGGCGGCGTTAGCGGCGGGTGATGGAGAATGACAGGGAGGTCCGCCGACAGGGGCGGTCTGGGCGACGCGGGTGGCAAGAGCGGCCCGGTGCTCAGCGCGAGCGCGATGAGCATCGGCCATGAACTTGGCAGAGTGGTGAAGCGTGGATTGATGAAGAGGAAAGCTTTGGCGCACCCCTACCTGGCGTGCCAAATGTCGGATTTCGGGTTCCAGCAAAACCATTGCGGTTCGAACACTAGGTTGCGCACAAAGATCTCTCCCCCTCTCTAGCTCGCACACTCTACGATCTCACGGCCTAGCTTAACAAACCTAAAGAACATGAGACACAAGATTTATACTGGTTTGGGCCACCGTTGTGGTGTAATACCCTACTCCAGTCTGGTGTGGTGGATTGCCTCTTGGGCTGATGATGAACAATTACAAGGGAAGAACAGCCTCGCGAGGAGAGGTGTTCTTGTGCTTGGTGAACTTCTCTGGTGGCCTAGGTGGAATGGATCTAGTCCAAGATGAGATGGATCCCTACGGTGTTGGCTAGTCCTATTTATAGAGGCCCTGGTCCTCTTCCCAAATATTGAGCGGGAAGGGATCCCACAACGGCCAAATTCGAAGGGAGACAACTAGTACAAGCTATCCTGACAAAAGTAGTCTTCGCCTGCCAAAGGCTCTGGTGGTGACGCCATCTTGGGCTCCATGGTGACCTCTGTCCTGCCGTCCTACTGGTCTTGGTCTTGTTGCACCGATATGGAAACCTTTTCCTGATGCCTTGGGACTCCTCGTCTGCGCTTTCCCCTTTAGCAACAAAGAGGAAAAGAGGACACTGCGTGCTGGCGCCCGCCTGCCGCCCGCCTGGCTCTACTCGTCATGGCTTGCGTCATAGAAACCTCGCGAGGTGCCCTCGCCTTGATCTCTCCGCCCCTCGCAAACCAGCCTGGTGAGGCCGCCCCTGAGGAGGTCTTGCGTTGTCCGCGTCATGAGGGTCTTGAATGTTTGCTGGTGAAGATGGGTCGTACAGGGCCGTTGGTGGAGCCACGCTGCGGGCCGCAGGCAGGCAAGTCTGGGGACCCCCGTTCCTAGAACGCCGATAGGCTTCTGCTGCAATTAATACACACCTTTACCATGCGGTGAATGCGGGGTCATGGGGGGAGTGGGGACAGTTAACCCCACGACCCCCCATGTTCTGCCACCTCGGCTCCACTGCCAGGGACTCTAAGTAGGGGGAGGGGGCAGCGGACGCACGCGCACCCTCATCTCCCTTTCCTACCCTTCTTCTTCTTCTCTCGCTGTTGTCGTGCCCCTTCTTCTTGCCGACGCATTGCCGTAGCTCGCCGTCGCCGAGTCCTCCCATGTTGCAGCTTTCTTGCCTTGCCACGGACTCTCCCGCTTGCCGTCGCGGCGCGCCTCCGTCCAGCATCCATGCCCATGGCGCGCGAAAGGGCTGGCGACTGGGACAGCTCCA